CACACACACACACACACACACACACAACACACACACACACACACAACACACACACACATACATACATATACACATACACTCACAAACCTATCCCCCCTTCCATGCACCCGTTCGCGTACTGCACGCATCATCCCCATACCTCCCCCCCTTCCCCCCCCCACCCCTACGCTAAACCACAACTTGATGAACATTCCGCTCGGTTATGAAATATAGGTCGCCTTAACGCAGCGTGCCTGGCGCTCTTAAAAACAAGGCACCTCTATTAACATTCCTCGCGCTAATCGACGTGGCTTCTCCGCCTGGCATTCTTGTCATTGCTGACAGGGCGCCCGCGATTGACACCCCCGCCACGCTCGCGCCCTCTCGCTCGCTCGCTCGCTCGCTAGCGCTGTCGCATCCTTCGCGGGAACTCCTTCGCGATCTCTCTCTCTCTCTCTCTCTCTCTCTCTCCTCTCTCTTCTCTCCTCTCTCTCTCTCTTCTCCTCTCTCTCTCTCTCTCCTCACTTGCTTGTTGCATTCCCTTTCTCGCCTTTTCGCTCCTTCGCTCTTTCGTTCTCTTTTCTCGCCTTTTCGCTCCTTCGCTCTTTCGTTCTCTCTCCTCGCTTACTCTTTCGCATCCCCTTTCTCACCTTCCCGCTCTCATTCTGTCTCCTCGCTTGCTACTTTCGCTCTTTTTCTCTCTTCCTCGTTCGTTCTTCCGCATTCCCCTTCTCGCCTTTTAGCACTTCCATTCTCTCTCTCTCCTCGCCTGCTCTTTCGCTTTTCCTTGCCCCCCTTCTTTCGCATTTCGCATCCATCTTCGTTCGCTCCTTCCCTCTTTCGCTCACTCAGGTGTTGAAGCGGACCCACGAACCACTCCCCCCCCTCTCTCTCTCTCTCTCTCTTCCCCTCCTCTGGCACTGTTTGCATTTCGCTGTTCGGTCGACTCGCTTCCAGTCGGTGGTCTGTGTTTTGATTCTGGTTTGGTGGCGGCGGCGGCGGTGCTGGCATGGGGCTGTGGTTGCTTTGGAAGAGAGGGGAAGCAGAGGAAGGGGCGAGAAGAAGACGAGACATGAGTAAGAAGGGGAGAAGGAGGCAGGGAAAGCGGAGGAGATGGAAAGAGAGAAACAGAGGAACTGACAGGGAGTGAGAGAGAAAAGAGAAAAATGAGAAGAGAAGAGAAAGAGAGAGAGAGAGAAGAGAGAGAGAGAGAGAGAGAGAGAGAGAGAGAGAGAGAGAGAGAGAGAGAGAGAGAGAGAGAGAGAGAGAGAGAGAGACTGAAAGACAGACACTGAGTCATTAACAGAGACAAAGACATGGACACATTCTTAAAGAAAGAGAGAAGAGAGAAAGAGACAGCAAACGTCCAATAACGAGAGGTCATCCAACATCATCCGTGAACAAGACAATTAATCTCGCTAAGCTCGCACTCATGCCGGACCTCTCGACACTCGATTAAAAAAAAGGTTCCAACTATTCAACAACTGTACAAAAAATAACAAACCTAGCATTACCGAAACAGGACAGGTCTTACAACATCGCCTATGAAAAATACAGCTACTGGCTGCTTTAAAACCGATGTTTAGAAATGCCGTGTTGCAAACCGTGCTGGTGTTTATATAAGGTTTACATACTTACGTCGACCTTGTCGGTATACAGTACAATACTAGTAAGCATATGCCTCTCAGCACTCACATACTTTCACGAAATACCTCTCTCACGCTTTAGACATCTTACTTAGCATAAATACGCAGACAATTTGCAAGGCCTTTACAAATCTTACTGGGCATTACTACACAGATAATATGCAAATCATGTGAATCTTATTCCAACGCATCCCATGCCCTTTTGCAAGGAAGGTAAAGGTACTTAAGTGAAAAATCTGATCTCCCCGCTCAGAGCAGATTAAGAAGGGCCGATGTTCCCCATGTTGACAAATGAGGGATTTGTCTCCGACGTCGGCACGTTTGTTTTGTCCTTCGACGGGGACGAAAGACGAGATCTGTCTTCGCCTTTCCCTTCAGTTCTGCAGGAGATAATTAACATACCGAGAAGCTCCTCCCTGTCTCTAGATCAGCCTTTGGGTTGGAGCCGGAATCTTGCGTCGCCGGGATCACCCAAAATACGATGAGAAAAAATGACAATGCTGCTGTTTAGTGAGTTCATGAACTGCCCCTTTAACAATGGTGTATTCTTGGTCAACACTTCAATGAACTTCAGTCACGCAGTCTCTCATACTTACTCATTCATCCACTTACTCTCTCATTCTCTCTCTTCACTTGCTCGATCACTCAGTCACTTACTCACTTACTCACTCAATCATTACTCACTTCCTCACTCTCTCTCCAAGGCTCAATCGCACACTCACTCTTCCTCTTTTTTTTCCACTCACTCACGTGCAATGTTAATTAGTGAATCCTCCCCCCCCCCCCACACACACACACACTACGAGGCCTTGTCGGGTTGCGTCACTGGCCCCTCGGCTTCGGCCTGTCGGCGCGGGCAGGCCCCGTCCCGCCGTCATCCGAGCGCAGCCCTCCGCACTCGAGGCTCTCGCCAACATGTAAACAAAGCTCCCTACCTGTCATGTTCACTCCTGATAGCATCTCCGACCTCTCCATGATGACTCGGGAAGATAACAATGAATTTGGCGCGGTTATCGGCGGGCACGTGCACTCGGGGCACAGCCACTGCAGCTCAAAAGGGGAAATTTCGCGTCTCAAGCTCCTGGTTCCTCTGACAGGAAGACTGCGATGCGGGGGACGCCTGAAGGAAGGGAGGTTTCACACTTGCTGCCCCGTCCTCCGCGCTTCCTTCCTCGGGACTTCTCGCCGGGGATAATGAAGATGGAGGTGATGCCCCGACGTCCAAGTGTCAACAGTTGGGCCTCCTGCAGGCGAGTCGACCCGGTGATTGGTGGGTGTGACCGAGGCCGGTCGGCGGCGAGGCTCGAGGGCGACGGACAATGTTGTAGGGGCGGCCGATCGGTTACTTGGGGCAGGGCAAGACGACGTCAGGTTTCCGACTGCCCTACGCTGGATCCACAGCTGAACGGGGACCCTGCGTGACACACATCACTTTCCGATTCTCTGTGCACGGACGTCGGCGGCCACACGCGGCGGGCGAGGGTGGGAGGGACGCTGGGCTGAGGACACAATAATAACAACTGGTCGTATCGTCTGGTGCACTACACTCACTCACTCACTCGCGCTCCCCAAACTTCTGTCGTTCCCTCAATCGGGCTCGAATTTCCACGCGCTGGGACGAGGAGGCGAGAGAATACAGTGTCCTTTGACGTAACGTCCTTACTCCACACAAGGGACAATCCAGAAAGACTTAGGGAGCACTCGCAGGGGGAAGGAATGGACGAGCGGCCTCTCCCCGTGACGGCGATGGCAACACTGGCGCTGGACGGAACAAGCGACGGTGATTCTGGCATGTGGGGAACCGCGCCGCCCGAGGGACCTGCGCGCGCACCCGCCCTCCTGGCCTTCCTGTTAGCACCTCGCTCGCTCTGCCGCAACGAACGGATTCTGGCCCGACATTATCGACTCCATTGCAAGCGAAGGCCCACAAGACGAGCACAGGGCAGGGCTGGGCAGCGGGACACGGACACAGGGCGGGACGGCGTGCACGGCTGGCTCAGGGCGGGGCGGGGCGGGGCCGTAATCCAGCCAGACAGCTGCGCGTCACCCCTATTGCCTAGGGCATCCCCCCCCCCTCATCGCCGCTGTCACATTACTCTACACTCGCTGCCCTCTACACACACTGCCCCGGGCCGCTCCCCTTCCTCGCCCCGCCCCCGCACCATAGTAACATGCTCGCCCACCACACCCCCGAGCTGGGCATCATCGACAGCATCATCTTCTCATCAGCTTCATCACTTCAATGCAGGCATCTCTTGCTCGCTGGATGCCCACCTCTCAATCTTTTATTTCTTTCTTTCTTTCTCTTCCCCTCCCCACCCTCTGACCCACCGACCCACTCACTCACTCACCCCCCACCCACCGATCCACTCACTCACCCCCCACCCACCCATCTACTCACTCACCCCCCCCACACCCACCCATTCACTCACTCACTCATCCACTCACTTACTCACCCACCCAGCCCCTCACTCACTCACCCACCCCATCCAGTCACTTACTCACTCACTCAGACACCTACCCACCCATCCACCAACTCCCTCACCCACCACTCCCTCTCCATTTCAATAAGTAATTGGGCGTCCAGCGGAGGGCTCCCCTTTCAAAGAAGATGAGACGAGAGATCTCGCTACCATGTAGGCAGGTCAGCGGGTGGGAGGGGGGACACGAACCAGGTCAGGTCAGGTCACAGACATTCAAATAAAAATAACGACTCGTACACTTGTCGGCTGTTTGGGAGCCAGGTCATCACAGCCCATAATCGTGACGGGCGGGCGCAAACGGAGCCAAAGGAGCAAACGGGAACAAAACGTAAACATTTATTCTCATTTTTTTTATTGTGGCTATTTTCCTTTCATGCAGATGGGATTTTTCTATTTACCTAAAGGGCAAAGCACTGACTCACCCATTCCCAATTCCACGAGAAAATGCAATATATGGTGAATATGCGCTCTTTAGAATGCTATGTTCCTAAGATTTCTTTAATGCCCCTAATTCATATCGTCGGGGTGGCGCCCGTACTATCGAACAATGACGAGCATCGGTCAGGGAAAGTGGATCAATATTTTCCCCAATCCACTGTGTAACGAACGTGTACAAGCATATAAATACGAACACACGCGCGCGGAGAGTGAGTGTGTGAGCGTGTGAGGTGTGAGCGTGTGAGTGTGTGAGCGTGTGAGTGTGTGAGCGTGTGAGTGTGTGAGCGTGTGAGTGTGTGAGCGTGTGAGTGTGTGAGCGTGTGGATGAGTGAGAGAGTGAGTGTGTGAGCGTGTGAGTGAGTTGAGAGTGAGAGAGTGAGTGAGTCTGTGTGTGTGTGTGTGTGTGTGTGTGTGTGTGTGTGTGTGTGTGTGTGTGTGTGTGTGTGTGTGTGTG